CCTACTCCCTTCTCTGATTTTCAAGTGAACCTTCCCCTTTGTCCTTCCTTGCTCGAACGGGAAAGATTTGGCTTCAGTGATCAACTCCAGTCTCCATTTCCCCGCCAGCTTGAACTTCTTCTCCTCTCCCATGGTTTCCTCTCCTCAAATATTTCACCTTAGAATTTAGTGATTTCTCTTATAGAGAGAGGAACAAGATGTAGGAGCAGCTATTTGCAATAAGGGGTCTATAGGATGGTCCTTGGTGCTTTTTTTTTATGGTCCTTGGTGCTTGGGTGGGGATTTCAATGTGATTAGATTTTCTAGTGAATTGATTTATCCTTTTTAACATATCTCAACTAGCATGAGGAAGTTTAATGGTATCATTAGATACATGTGATTAAAGGAGATTCTTCTTGTACAAATAAGATTCACTTGGTCTAACTTTCAAACAGATTGATAGGCCCCCGGTTAACCTTATGTATGCCAGGAAAAGGAAAGGCCAACAGTCGGCTAAGGGGGGGAAATAATTGAACACATGGGGGCAATTATAGCTGCAGGGAATAAGAAGAGTCTTGGGGCATTTATAACTATGTCAGTTATGAATAAGAAGAGTGTTGGGCATTTATAACTAGGTCAGCTGGGCATTTATGGGGGGGGGAAGTCAATTATGCTGTCAGAAGAATATAAGAAGGGTCTTTGGGGGATGGGGGAGGCAGGCTTTGGTTGAGTGCAGAATACTGTGAGTGATTGAGAGAGCCGGCGGTCTCTCGAAGAACCGGCCAACTGTTACTGTTCTTCTTTTCTTCTGAATGAATACCAGTTTCTTTGTTGATATTCGAGTTGTGTGAATTCTTCTGAGAATTGTGTGTAAAGTTTATGGGACCTAACAGTGGTATCAGAGCTCGTCTTTCCTCGGCCATGGTGACAGTTAAGGAAGTGGCATCGCAGGTGGAGGGTTTCGAAGAACGCTTGACTTCTCTGCATTCTGAATTTCGTGTGGAGATGGATGGCTTACGCAATGAGATTCAGCGACTCGATCCAGAAAAGGTAGCAGCTGGACTTTCGAAGATCTCGTCTCTGGAAAGCTCGGTACAATCTCTGGAAGGAGGCATTCAAGATCTGGTGAGATGTTTTGATCTGTTACTTCAGCAACAGGCCTATTCAGCTCCTTTGTCCATGACTGACATTGCTCCTCCTTTAGTCGCATCGAGTCGTGCGGCTGACAAAGGGAAGAGTGCGGCATTTCCGACGTCTTCCTCGATACTGGTGCCGGAACATACTCCTGATTCACTTCCTCGGAAGTTGGAGTTACCTATTTTTGATGGGGAAAATCTAGACGACTTGTTTTTTCGTGCGGAGCGCTATTTTGAGATTAATGGATTGCTTCTGGCAGAGCGTCTACGAGCTGCAGTTGCCTGTTTAGAGGGTGATGCATTGGCGTGGTATTACCGAGAAGTTGGTCGGCGACCTTTTCGTGGTTGGACAGAATTCAAAGAGCTTCTCCTTGAACGTTTTCGATCGACTCAGGAGGGTAATTTACAGGAGTAGCTCTTCTCGTTACATCGGTCTTCTACTGTTAAGGGATATCGTTGCCAATTCGAGGTGCTCTCCGCTCCCTTACGTGACCTGCCAGAATCAGTCCTTGAAGCAGCATTTGTTAATGGGTTGCAYGACCCTTTCCTGAACGGTGCCCTGAAGCGAGGTGACTGGTATAGAACCAAAGACTTGGTACCTAAGGGCTCTGATTGGATTGTCAATGAAATGAAGAAATCTGATCTTCGAGGCCGTAGTGGAGCTGGTTTTCCATCTGGCCTGAAGTGGTCTTTCATGCCAAAAGTATCTGATGGC